GGTGTGTGTATGACATTACTGTGTGCGTCGACAACATCATCATCATCGTCATCCGATTCAATGACTGTATAGAAATATTTTCAGAATCAAAATAAGAAGAAGAAAAAAATCAAACGAAAGACACAACACAACGAGCTATTTACCTTTTCGTCTTTTTGATCCAGTTGTATTTGTGGCTCGGTATCGATTGAAATATTGAGTTTCAGATTCATTCTGTGACATGACTTCCAAACCAACGGTGCATGGTGTACACTGTTGTAATTGAATTTCGATTGATTGCTGAACTCCGTCATGCTCTTGTGTCGGCTCAGTTTGTTGGCTATTGTCCACAGTCACATCCAATGGTTGATTCTCTTCTTCTTCTTCGTCTTGATCTTGTGTCGGCTCAGTTTGTTGACTATTGGCCGATGCGTTATTCATTGGTTGTCGTTGGCGCTGCGAATTGGCCCATTCAGAATATATTCGAATTCTTTCATTCGTTTCATTAACGCAAGTACGCTTTGGACGCATCCTTAATTATAAAATGCGGAAAAAATAGAAACAAATCGATACATATTCGTACAATATCGAAGAAAGATCTTGGACAACAAACAAGCGGAACAGACATAACCAAACTTCAAAAGGCAAAGAAAAAAAAATTGAACATGTGCCGAAAAAATCCGAAAACCTACCAATCAATTTAGAAATACTCATCAATTTGCAATCAATAGCGATAATTTATTTTCAAAACACGACAAAACATGAATTTACCTGATTTATTTTGGGACTTGGATGAATTAATGCACAGGAAAAATTGAAAAATCGTTCCGTTGGTCTGCGTCTCAATTTCTTTGATCGTTTAGATTTTTTTAAAGTTTAGAATATTTTCCAATTTGTTATCAATTTGTTTGAAATCACGACAAAATATGAATTAATTCGATAATTATTGAGGCTTGTTTGATTTTGAGCACACTAAAAATTAATTACGGTTTTTTTCCCCCTTTGAGACTAAATTATTACTTTTCCGCACATCTAGTGTAGGGAAGGTATTGTATTAGGCCAAAAAATTAAAGTCATCCCAAAACATGTTTTCTATGCATATTTAATGTAGAAAACACGATTGGAGATGATTTTGGGGCATATTAATGTGCGTCGCTGTGTGTGATGTGTCCTGTGTCCTGTGTCCTGTGGCGTGTTGCCAAAATTTGTTAACTCGATAAATCTTTTTCCAAAAACTCAATTCAAATTCTGACTTTGCAGGATGATTAGGAGACGTGCTGATTAGTTTTTGAGCAATATCTGTTGACCGGTGTAATTTTTTTGGGTCCGAATGGACACAATCCATACATTTTACTTTTTTGATCATTTTTCAACCATTTTGGTGACACGATGGTTTCGTGCTCAGACATGAAATTCATAATCTGACTTTACGGGATGATTGGGCGTTACGAGGAATAGATCTGGTCAAATTTTCAACGACATTGATTGATCGATGTAAAACTTAGACTGTGAGTTCACTTATGAGAAAAATGCCTTAAAATGATATTCTTTCAATTTGAACGCTGAAAGACTGTGTAGTGGGGGTTTTTTGGCACGAGAAACCCGAATCTGATGTTAGTTTTAAGATGCAATCAATTTTTCACAGACTTTTCATACAAAAATCGAAAAAAAAATTAATTTTTGTATGAAAGACTTGCCTTTGTGGTACTGTAATGATGTGAAACTTTGAACAGGCTATTTTTTGGATTGAAATTTCTTTAGACTTAGTATGATTATTTATTTTAATAAGAAAATAGTATTCACAAGTTTTCACGGTAATTTAAGTTACTGCAACCATACATAGACCATCATTTCTGTTTATTCCCAAAATTTCGGTTCCATGCGGAAAAGTCAGCTTGCGTACGTAAGCCTCTTTATTTCAACTAATCCAATTGGAGCTCGCTGTGTAAGTGCGAAAGATTATTTGACATTTCGTAATAACGATGCCGGTAAACAAGCTGCTACCGTATATGTGTATGTGTATATAATTGCGCATAAATAATTCAATCTGAAACAATGACCAATACACTTTGCATTTATGTTTATATTGGTCGCGTATATACAAGCAACTAGACGATGCGCCATCTATTGGTGATTATTTTAATTTTCATTCGATTATATCGTTGTTTAAATGGTTATGAGCAAAAAAAAGTCATAAACACAAAAACAAAAAATGAATCTAACACATTTGAATTTCAAATATTTTCTTCAATGCGAGCAGTGATGATAAACAATCAAACAAATGTATTTCAATGATAATGATATTAGCATATATAAATACTAGGGTGGGTCAAATTATTAACCTCAAAGGCTTTTCCCATAATTTTTTATCTTTTGCACAAAAATCACCAATTTTATTCGCGAATTTCACAATTTTGTGAAATTGATTGACATTTTCGCGCCATCGACTCTGTTTCACGTCACCGTTATTGTATGATCCAGCTAATAAATAAAGGCATTCATTCCAACACTGATGTTTACAGTTGATAAATGGATAGTTTATAAGATGATCATAATTAAAAGAACATCACATATACATTGTACTACACAGAGTACAGTATGAACATAGCAAAATTATTTCTTGCACTATTTTTCCGTGTTATATTTGTAATTTCATTAATAATCATTTTTTTATATATAATATTCATTTTATGTTTATTAGGTATTCGTGAGAAGAAATCAAAAGTTAAAGAAAAAGTTCGAGAAATGGAGGAGATTGTGGAACGAGAAAATATTTTTACAATACCGAATTTATTATGTGTTACCCGTAGTTTTTTAGCTCCATATATTGGATATGTTATTACTCAAGAACATTACCAACTGGCAATTGGTCTTCTAGCTTTTGCTGGTCTAACAGACTTGGTGAGTACATGATATCATTATGAAAAATACGTTTATGTTGAGAATAATTTACTTTATTAATTTAAACATAATAATAGTTAGATGGCATAATTGCGCGTAACTGGGCTTCACAGGCAAGCAAACTGGGCACTTTTTTGGATCCAATGGCCGATAAATTACTCGTAGGATCCTTAGTCATATCCCTTTCATGTTGTAATTTGTTCCCGACATGGCTATGTGGAATGATTATCTTCCGTGATGTATTTTTAATAATTGCCGGCTTTGTTATTCGATATATAAGTTTGCCACCACCGGTAATTCACAAGTAATAATACTCCTTCACTTGAGTCAAAAATATGTTTTTTTTTTTTACAGAGGACTCTTTCACGATACTTTGATGCGACACACGTAACAGCAAAATTAAAGCCAACACTAATTAGTAAATTGAATACAGTAGTACAACTTACCACAATCACTGCCAGTTTAGCAGCGCCATCATATGGACTACTGGGTAAAAAATTGTATTATGAATTAATTATATATAAATATATAAAAAAAATTAATCATTTTTTCATTTTACATTGAAATTACATTCAGCTCATTCTACACTAGTGTGCATGTGGTATTTTACTGGTCTCACAACAGCAGCGGCGGCAACAAGTTACATTGTTTTATCTAAAGATACATTTGAACTGATACGGAATCGTAAAGTCCCATGATTTGCTATTATCATATGTGAATTTTGAAATCAATACTATTAAATAAATTAAACTTCAATTGTTTCGAAAAATTTCTTCTACACTCTCTTTGAAACTCTTCTTATTTAATCACAAAATAAATGTCATAATGCCAGGAACTCGAATATATACTCAATTTTTTTGGGACATAAAAAAAATTCATTCAGAATTTCAGAAAAAATGTATGATCGCGAAATATGTTATTTCGGCTTTTTTATAACATCAGCAGAAATTTAAAGCAATGAACTCCATTTCAACAATAAGGTCATAGTTTGATGGTGTTTGTCTGGAATAATATTGTAGTGATATTGATGTGTGTCAGCTCCGACGCACGGAAATTCGGGTAAACCGTTTTAAAAGGATATACTGACCAGTAAACCTTGGTATATCTTACTTTTGACAATTCTGGATGTATGAAAATATAAAAATCACCAAAATAGGGTTCAATCGATGTTCAAATTATATTATATATTTTGTTTTATATTTCGGCAATTCGAAGCTGTTGGCATTTCATCCTTCTGAGAGCGTACAATAAGAATTGTTTTTTTTTTTTTAATCAACTCCTGCCAAAAAAACATTTGAAAGCTTGTTTTAAATCTCATTGTCAGTTGTATTTTTAATCGTATTCAGGTTTTTAATAGCATTTTCTTATGAATATTTTGAGGAGCAAAAATTCGAACTTAAATGGGACATTGTGAGTCACATTTGTTTTTTTGTTTTATTTTCGATTTTAAGTGGCTTTCTTATTTTCCGTAGCTGCATCTAAATGATGCTGTTGGACGATTTCGGCAATTTTCTGAGCAAATAAATTTGAATCATGTATTATCGACAATAATTCGTGTCTTTTATCATATAGTTCGCCGAGAGTTTTCGGACTGTAACCAGTCCAAAAATACTCCTCCATATCGTTTATTTTGGGTGGTCTATCTGATTTCAATAAATTGATGATTTTTTGTTTGTGTTGCTTAATACCTTCCTGAAATGAAAAAAATGAGATAAATATTTACATCAATAAGATAGAATCACAATCAATTCATTTCATTATTTATACTTACAATATCCACATCCGTTGAAATAGAATTGTTGCCCGCTGGTAACGGTGATCCAATGAAACCAATGTAGTCGAGTTGTGTTGATCCGCTCCCGCTCTGATTGTTTATTATGAAAATCTGGATACTATTTACGACCGCAAACTTCACCGGTCGTAAATTGATAAGATTTCCTGCCAAGTCCTTTGGATCGACGCTGTACCGAGATGAAAGAAAGAAAATTTACTAAATATTTGATGAATGCTAAGTGCCAAACATAAGTTCTTAGAAGAACAAACATACATCATATCTTGAACGGCCGGACATGATTCGGCTTGTTCAAAGCTCATAGTTGCGATCTGATTGATGAATAATTTCAGCGTTTTCGGTCCAAATTTCTCGGGTGCTTTCAATTTTATGGCATGTATTTTGATCGATTGATTGAAATTGACCGACAAAATGAGCTGATCATCGAAATCGGACTTTAAAGAATTGCCACCGTCCGTGAATACGTGTTCCAATGGATAATCATCTGTCCCGCCCAAACATTCACACTGGTTTTTTGTGATCAGTCCTTTGAGATCCATCTGCAATTGTGCGAAAAATCAAAACCTTCCGAAGTTAGATGGAAAAAAAAATATTGTGACTGACACAAAATAAATATGAAACATACCAAACCCTGTTCCAGGTCTTCACCTGAATCGACATGACCACTACCAATGTGTTGTTGGATTTTTGCTTCCAATTCAGCCAAGTTGGCATTTTGAAGATGATCAATGTTTTTCTTTAACGTAAAATTCAATGCATATTGTCAATAGCAGAAAAAACACAAAAGGCTGAATAGTGAATACAAACTCACCTTATTTCTGTAGAAGAATAACGTTGGAAACGTAACACACTGTGTTATAGCTGTGTTTTGACACTTATCAATATCAGGAAAATCGCTCGTGGATACTTGTTTGGTAGTTGTTCAAAGTGTGATTCAATTAGCTGCCAACTGGTGCACAATGATACAAAAAACATACCTCTGTTTACTGGGTTTATTTCGGAAAAGAAATAAATTTCACTTGTCTATAGCAACATTTTTACCATTTGGCTATAAAATTGACCACAACCAAACGAACACCAACTGCTTCCAATTCTTGCTGAAAGCAGTGATCGCTTTCAATAGCACGTACGCTCATTTTGGATTGTTATTATTGGAACATTTACTAAATTTTTTTTATTCAAACTTATAAATTCTTACAATAATTCGACTTTTGTTCGGCTCCGCTTGGTGTCATACAAAATTTAATGACCGGCACTTTTTATGTACACTAGAGTGTTTCCCATATCTATAATTAAAAAAATGGTATTTTTCAATTTAAAGAGCATAAAATTCTGTTTTAAGTCGTACCATTAATGTAAAGCACCGATTGATATTGACACTTCCCGAAGCAAAAAACTCTTTAAAGCAAAAATTGTCTAAGGTCTTAATATTGAATTAGTATTATTGATGTGAACCGAGCCTTATGACATTTGACGATCATTTCAATGGTTTTCGAAATGTCATAAACGCCGCTTCATTCATACCGAGAACACATTATTTTCGATATACGTGCATTTTGTATCGATTTGATCCGAACTTTCCACACTTGATCAATCGATTGACAAATTGTTGAATTCAAGTCACCATTGTGAGTAAACTTAATCATTTTATTACCGTGAAAAATATTGGTTAATTCATCAATAAAAAATATTATTTTTAATGAAAAATCAAAAATTGAATTACGTGCTTACGTGCAGTTATTCCTCTTGTTCTTATTGTGAAATTGATTTTTATTTCATAGCACGTAATATAAGCCATCTATAACGTGAAATATATTTAAGTAGTCTAATAATTATTTAACGTTGAGCCAGACATTATAATAAGATATTTTCAGCCAGATGAATCAGCTCTGCCAGATATCGTTAGGAGCTGAAATCTAGTGAAAACAATAAAAGTGATTGTTATAGTGATTGTAGCAATGTAAGTGTAATTATAACCATAACAATCACTTCTATTGTTTTCACTAAATTTCAGCTCCTGACGATATCTGGCTGAGCTGATTCATCTGGCTGAAAATATCTCATTATAATGTCTGCGTTGAACATATAGTATCATTTCATGAAAAAAGTAATGAATTTCACAATTATTCTGCAGTACATAATTCTGTTGCGTGAGGTGGTGAAATTCATTTCAAGCGGTGATACCCATTTTGAATTGGTTCCATTGTTCAGAGAAGAGAAACAGTTATTGTTTGGGCTCAAATTGAATCTGAATACTCAAAAGTATGCGTTACATTGTTTTCTTCTCTAAATCACTGCCATTGTTATCAATCCGAAGATTTTTGTCATTTTTGTGTGCTGCATCATTTTGTGTGTGTACCAAAAAAGGAGATAGATTCTTGTTCTGTTGTCGCTCGAAAAAATTGAATTTAAAACATGTGTGTGCGTGTGTGCATATTTGTGCAGGAGATTTATTCATTCGTAAATTTCTATAAAAAAATCTCGATATGGATCAATGAAAATGTCTAAATATCGCCAATTGAATAGTATTCGTTTTTAAACTAAATCGAATGTGTGTGTTTTTTTCGATAGAAAAATGGCAAATCGTTACAAGCCGTCTCTACCAGCTGAGGGAGAAAAGAAAGATGAGATAACGACGATCAAATGTGCACTAAAATCAATAATTCGGCCGCCATACCAGCAGGAACTGATCGGCAAAATAACTGATCTAAGTCTACAGGCTACAATGATTTGCAATTTGGGTTCGTTGCTGTTCTTATTAGAGGTGCAAAAGGCATATGAACGTAGGCATCAACAATGGTGACTTCAGCTTCTTTGCCAATAGCGGGGAAGAAAAGATCAACACATGTTTTAGTCAAGTGCTAGCAAAGCACAACCCAAAAAATGTAATTAAACACTAAAATCAACTATAGATAACATGGATTTTACAGTTCTATTTTATTTAATATATTGATTTCAATTCAAAATTCATTTTATTTTCGCATCCATTCTAACTGATTTTTTTCTCTATTTTCATTCCATTGTAATTTTCAATTGTAAATTAATTTACTACCGAAGCCGAAGCCGAAAAAAACACCAAAGCCGAAGCCAAAGCCAGAGCCAAAGCCGGAGCCAGAGCAACCATCAAAGACCAAACGGAAACCCCGTGGACCAGCAAAAGAAATTTCACCAATCGATCCAGAATTCAAGGCAATTGTGGAAGGTCTTGATGAGGTCCATCGCTTTGATTGGCCTAGCAACAAAGATTTCGGTAATGGCCTCAAACATCTATGCAATCAATACATAGACAACAATGTCACCAATTCGCAAACACATTCGGATAAACACATAACCCAATATCTGAAGATGAAAGTGTTTCAGATGAACACAAATGAAGCCATTGAAGAGAAATACCTGCCAAGTGACATCGACTGTGTGGTGAAACTCATTCTCAAGGAAAAGGTATGTGGAAAATGTTTATTCAAATCATGAAAAGAACTGAGTTTTCAATGGTTCATATTGTTTAAGCTTACAATGGTTTTTTTTGACTCGTTGACAAATTTTTATAAACATGACTTTAATCTATTTCCCTTGTTTCATTGAAAAAGGTCATCAAAGTGCCAGCTAGTGACCCAAATAAACTTTATCGGTGCGGAGTTTTGTATGACATCGTCAATAAGTTGAATGTGTTCCCGGAAATCGACCTACATGATCTCACGACTAATTCAAAAAATTGGTTCAAAGCTGTGCCGATGTATCTATCTAGCAACGCGAGATAGAAGAATTTAATTTGCTGCGAGCACATCAAGAGCCACCGAAGAAACGCAAAAAGAGAAAGCGCAGAAGATCGAAGGGTAAGAAAAGAAAGTGGATCATCAAACGAAAACAAATGCTCGACGATTTGGAATACCTACCGTGCATTCGCAATTTGGTGGTAGTTCCGATGTGTGATTTTCGGCGTACGCACTTCAAAATCGACTCTTCGAGTATGTATCAGATCTTGTCTTCTCAAAAATTGATTCCGAAACAGTTAACTGAAGACGGAAAACCAAGTGGAAGAAATATTTCAGAAAAGGTTTACAACGAGAATAAAGATTACATATGGAATCAGTATTTTTATATGCGTAAAATTCGGTGGTTTGTCCGCCGCAAAAAGAAATTTGACTTTTCGATAAACAGCGATGGAATTGCTGTGTCTCTGCAGTATTCCACCAAAAAGAAGGAGACCAGCAACACATAATCGGGCACCAGTCGATTGGACATCATTGACATGTTGAAGGCGGGCAAATTCAAAAGATTGGGAGGTACAGATTCAGGCATGCGGAACTGGAATACCACAACAATACATGAAATTGATACTTGCAAAGAAGTATGTGTAGTATACTAAAATACAATGATACACATTGTGTTTAAGTTCACTAATTAATTTTGTTTTTTTTTTTCGATTTATTCGCAGATCAACTTTGTTAAAAAGAGCAAGCAGTTCCATTGGGAGACATATCAAAACGGACGAAACGCAAAAGCGAAGCGATTCACGAAAAATTTCATCGAGAAAGAAAGACAAGATCGAGAGAATCGTGAGCTGTACGCAATGATGCCATCACCAAAAGGTTCACAGTGGCTGAGCTATATTAAGCATCGAGTTAAGATGACCAAACATGGAATCGAAGCTTACTCGACTGCAAAGTACACTATACTCAGCCATAGACTAGTGGTTAGCGTGCCAGGTTTGTGAGCGTGAGGACACGAGTTCGATTCTCGGTCAAATTTGGTCCGGTATTTTTCCACCGTGATTCGCTCAGGAATTATCAGTGGTTTTATGCGGAATAGATTTGGCCGGGTTTCGGGCTAGTGGAGTGCTTCGGAGGGCACTTAAAGCCGTCGGTCCCGTGTGTGTGCACAAAGAATAATGGGTTCAGCATAGACACACGTAAAATGGAGTGCCTTTACGTTAGGTTGGTGTCTTGGATATGTCAAATATCCAATACGTCAACCGTAAAAAGGTAGTGCGACATCTCTGGTGAATATACCGGTAAACCAGCGATATGTGCATTCCTCCATTGAAATAAGAAGAGCCCAACGCCATCTAGGAATGAATGGAATACTTGTGACTGTCACGACAATTGACTTGAGAAGAAAGCCCTGGTCACTGGCCCTGTACGGAGGCTAGTTACATGGCTGCTATAAAGTGGGCCACACCGTGGGAAGCATTCTCCAAGCAATCGAGTGACAGCACAAGTCGGGTCGTCATGCAATAAGTTACGAAACTTGAGCATCGAAGTGAATAACTCCCCGTTTAATCCAATAATCCAATAATCCAATAAAAGTACACTAGACTCGCCTTGGACAAATACATTAGGAGCAACAGAGCTATCGACGGATTTTTGAACAAGATCACCAATAAGGAACCGACTCTGTTATTCCATGGTGCTGATGGCGAAGTACCACCTGATTGCCCGATAAGAATTAAAAAACACGTGCGGTGTCCGGGTGTACGCAAACTGATGCAGGCATATAAGAAGCGACCATACATTGCTGTCGTGCAGGTGGACGAATGGGGAACATCTCAAACAGACGCAAGATGTACGTGCCGATTCCAAATTAATGTGTATTAACTTTCAGTAAAATAATTCTTTTTTAAGTAATTTTGTGGTTCTGTGAAGGACACACTTGATGGCATTAGAAGTATTGTCAATATTACTATATTACTAATTTGGTGAATGTTAAGCAAGCAGCAGAATGAAGGAAGATATCGAAAGACCGCATCATTTTTCCTCCGCTGAAAATGATAAGCTCGTGGTAAATTTTTTGTGTTATTTATTTAGTAGCATTTGGTTGCATTGAAAATAGTTTTCTTAAGATTATTTCTCCTACTTTTCATAGACAAACGGCGTCAAAAGACGACCTCGGTCTGAATTGGAACATAAGATTCAACATGAAAATTCCAACTACACCAAAATACCGACGGAATTCGATGATATGTGCAACGATGCAATTGAAAAAATTCTTTCCTACTTGGAATTAGTAGATTTGACAAATATTTGCGGTGGCAGTAGACGCTTGCAAACCATTGCTAAATCAATATTTCCTCGAAAGTATGGACATTGGCTGATAAGTATAGATGCTATTCAATTTCCTACCGAAAGATACTATCCAAAGCCTGTTTATTGTAAAATCAAACCGTTCATCAGGATTAGTGAAGCGAGAGTGTGGTTTAAATTGATTCGTAATTTTGGAAAATTCATCAAATATATTCGAATTGAATACCGAACTTAAATTCTGTGTCGTTAACATCGATTCCTAAGATATTAGAAAATATATGTTTTCCGAATATGAATGAACTCAGTACGTCTGTTAAAGATGTTGAATCATTTATTTCTTTTTTACGTGTTAATCGGCAAATCAAAAAATTAACTGTTGATATATCGAAGGATTGCGATTTAATACTTTCATCGATAAGTGAAATTTTACCAGAATTGAAAACATTCATTCATTTTTTCAGTTCAAAACAGTTGAAATTTTTCATTTAGATGACTACAATTATACTACAATTTTTGGCTCATTTGTGTTTGATAACCTTAAAAAAATTTCATTTTCATTTTCTGGTGACATTGGAAATTCAGATTGGCTGAACTCGGCGATATGTATGAAAAAGCTGAAAATACTGAAGTTACTGTATGCTTCAATGTTGATAGAAAATTATCAAATTCTACTCACCGAATTAACTGAATTGGAATTAATTATAGTATCACAAGGTACGCAACATGAAATCAATGTTTTAATCCAATCTCTTGGTCGCGAATGAAACAGATACAAATTGAAAAAAGAGTTGTATATCCATATAATAAGTATAAAGTGAAATTTCAACGCGAGAGATGAGAAAGTTTAGAATACAATTTGTTTATTTTACTGTATTTTACACCTTTATTTATATTCGTTTTTATTGTCTGATTAGGGCCGTAACCAGGAAAAAATCTCAGAGGGTGCTCTGAAAAATATATACTGACTATGAAATTTTTTGAAGAGAAAATACACCATTCTTCATTTTTTGTTATTTTTCAAGTATTTTGTATTTGATTTATAGCACGATAATGTTATAATGTTCTTTGTTTTGAAAATTAAAATCCATAATGCATTAAAACGAAAAAAGTTATTAAAGGAATTTAAAAGAGTTGAATTTTTCTATTTTTTTGAACGAATTTCTTAATAATGGAACTTTTCTCTAAAGCGTTTAACTTAGTTTTTTCAAATGCCAAGAAACTTAGATTACATAGGCGTTTATCTGTCATCGCCATACGACGCACTGTGTTTATTCTTGATAATGCGGAGAAAGAGCTTTCAGCTATCGCAGTACTACTTCCAAATGTTTTAGCTGCTTCTAAAAGATGATATGTATCTTTCACACCTTCTCTTACAGGAAACAAATGTTGCAACGCAGTATTTCCATCTTCCTTTTCATTTTTTGATAAAAACGCTTTCACCACGGTTAATTCAGCTTCCGAGGGCAAAATCAAATTGATGTGAGTTAATGATTCAAGAGCGTTTCGATCGAAATTATCATTACATATGTTGTTTACTTCAGTGATAGCAGTCAGAATATCGCTGTCTTCTTCAAAGCGATTTCTCAATTCATTTGAAACACGGTCAATTATATCAAAGTACTTAGACTTCGCCAACAATGTTTTCTTTTCAACTTCAGTTAGAGTTTGTTCAACTTCGATGTGATGCTTCGATGATCAACTCCAAGTGTCTCCATTACGATAGAGTCAGTAAGTCGAGTACAGCGTTGGCGCCGTGGTTTGTGACCGTGGTTCAGGTTGGTCAATTTCAAAGTCTTTCATCAATTTTATTAAAATATCTTCATACAAAATCATAAGGAAGATTATCAAAAACTCATGAGCAAAACTGAAAAATAGCAAAATTGGTATAATATTATTTTGTTTAGGAATATCATTTACAATCATTTTAGTTTTTGTAATGGGCATTACTATTTACGTATGTTTCTTTCGCGCTGCCACTTGGAATAAACTTGCAAAACGATTGGAAAAACAATCTGAAAACATCCCAAATTTATTCATTCGAAACTAATCAAATACTTCAATTTATTTTTTCAAAAATTTTTAAAGAACAATTCGAAATTAAATGATTTATTAATGTTAAAATTGGATGATTTTTATTGCGAAATGAAACCACTTAAAAAAATATATACTTTTTATACTTTTCCAACTTCAATTTTCCGCTCAAATTCAATAAAAGTACCAAAAAAAATGTTGTGACCTTTATTTCTCACCCCCCCTGGATACGGCCCTGTGTCTGCTCTGAAAACCTAAAGGTGGGCTATTCACAACAAAAGTAGCTGTCATGGTATTTCACCAAAAATTTGGTGTGATTTTGATACGAAAAAATATTGTGAACGCACCACTGAACAATACATATACAAACTAATTTCGAGGTTAAGTTCAATCCGTGGCCTACACTCTCCAGCAAGTCACTTTCGAGTATCTTATTGAAACCTATACCATTTTTTTGTGCATAATTTGTGC